CCTCCCTCAGCAATCTTATGGTGGATACCACAGGCAATCTCATTGCTCCCAACATGTTTTATTCCATTAGAATAAATGTTCTTCTAAAGGCATTTCCTTCAGAGGAGTCTTCTTCTCTGCAGTTCCCCTCCTCACGCATGCTTACAGGACTTCCTTTCCATTCATTTCCTTTATTTGGAGAAACAGCTGAACAACTCCAGCTGTTTCCCTCCATGAGCACTTTCGGAAATGAGGTGATAACCTTAGCACTTCTTGAGCCTTGAGCCCCCTTGCTGGGGGAAGGTTGCAGATTAAATTTACAGTCTGCAAAATATTTGAGGTTAAGGGCAGAGAAGTTGAGAACCAGTGGAATTTTCCATCTCACCTGAGCTGTATCCCTTTTACCCTGTGCTGCTTGTAAAGCCTCAAGGGTGCACAGCTTGTCTTGCTTTTTGCAATTATTTTAATCCTTTGGTAGTTTTAAAATGGGAAGCTTCTAATTAAAACTGTAGCCTTGTACATGAATTATCCTTTAGGGGCCAGCAAGATGCACTGTCAGAGGAGCAGCACATTTTGGGGGGAAAGCATCACCAAGAGATGTCTCTACTCTGGACTTCTCTCAGAGTATCAGTACTAAGAAAAGGATTTGCAGGGTTGCTTGCAGGGCAGGATATGCAGGTTGAAAGAAGTTTCTTTCTCTGTGTGTGTTCAAAGGGGAAATACAATTTACAGCCTTGGAAATGGCTAGTGTGTATCTGGTTCACATTCAGAAAGGACAAAGAGCAGTCAATAGCCCATATTAAAGCATTGGGCCTTCTGCTTTGACTCTTCTTTTGTATGCTAAGAGGTGGTGATTAGCAGAGTTCAAAGAAAACCATGATGAGGGTGAAATAAGTAGTTTTGGAAGACACCTTTTATGTATCTAAAATGGAGGAAGAAGGTGATTTATTGTGTGTTTTGTAGTTTCTGACAGTTGTCACAAATCTATTTCATCTTCTGAAAGTGTAAGAGCATCGTCTGTCAGGTGATATCCTGCAGCTCTTCCATATGCACTGTCATTTTTGGAGCAGCATGAGGTCTGGAAGTGGTTTTGTATGGTGTAATGCTCCGCCCTCTCTCAAGGCCATGACCGCTACTGTTGCTGTCAGAGGTGAGAGATACTGTGATGGCATTTTATTTTCCTTGATGCCTTGAGCAGTAGCCGCCCCATCTGTCCAGGCTGTTCTGCTTTTAGAAGCCAGCCTACAGATGACTAGTAATGACAAGAATCTGCCTGGAGCAACTTCAGACAAACTGGAAGTAGCCCACTTTTTCCATGACTTAGGGCATGTGTGAGGGAGGACTACTCTGGTTACTTACTTGTCAAAAAAAGGTATAACAGGTGGCAGCATCAAGTGTCCTTCATGAGGGTTGTGAATGACAAGACGGTGGTTTTCTTGCTGTCTGTCCATCACTGGACTGTTACTTTTAAGTGCTCAGTGAAAGGTAACTGAGAAAGCAAACCACTTTACATATGCTACCTAAAGAAATTAGACAGCAGGCTGCAAATTAAAAGATCGTTTTCTTTGGTTTTCTGGAATGTTCCTCAATAAACATTAAATGGAGAACAGGTCTGTCTGTCATGTCATCCCTCTTATTCCATTTTCGGAGGATCTGGAATAAGTATGTGTGTTCATACGACAGAAAAGTGCAGAGTTTAGGAATGGTACCATTCATGATCAAGTGGAATTGCAACACACTTCTGTTGAATGCCCCTAAAGGGAGTCTGAGACAGCATATTGAGAGTATGGGTTGTTAAATGCCCTATGATTAGGAACCTGACTTTGAGCCCAAGCACCAGTTGTTTATTTGCAACTGGTTCCCCAGGTGTTGACTGCCACAGACATGAGAGAAGAAAGACACAAGCTGATGAATCCAGGCCCACAAAGAAAGGGAACGGGGGGGGGGGGGGGGGGGGGGGGGGGTGCCAAATCACTGAGAAAGATCTTGTTTTAATTGATGGCAATACTTCTTTTGGTCCAGCATTATCATTATGTAAATGCAGTCTGGTTCATATTTCTGCCACTGATATAGGAATTTATTAATGAGAGTGATCAGCAGGAGACAGGACAGCAAAGGAGATTGGGAAGGTTTTGTCTGTAACTTGCCATTTCAAATCTAGTTCAGCTCAACAGTGACTAGTGGTTATTAATATCTGATATTTCTTGGTAGGCCCTGCATGAAATAAATTAGCAAATCTTTCATTCAGTTCTCTCTTGGAAAAACATGAACCATAACTGGCATTAATTAGATGCCTCATTGGCAGACTTGTAGGGAGAACAAAAACTGATAGACACTGTGTTCTCATTTCCCCCTGAGTTATCCACACATTCAGAGATAGGGTCCTTGCAGGTCAGATTGGGTGTATAATGGTGATCTGAGCAGTAGACTGGAAGAGGTTATTCTTATATAGGTTGAAGTGAGATTTTGATATCCTGTGCTCCAGGGAGACTAGCATTGCTTGTAATACACCAAAGGTTTTGTTTGGCTAGAGAGCTGGCAAGACAACGCCATGCAGCCGCCTACTACTGGTGCCAACTCTCTGGCAGTCTGAACTGTTATTCCAAGAGTAAGTATGTAGATGGTGAGCATCTGTTCCTTCTGTAGGAACACAGCTGGCTCACAGTTTCAGCCAGACCAAAGGACCACTGAATATTTTTTCCATGAATGACAGTTACACAGTTTCCAAAGGAGATGAGGATTTCCTATCAGGGAACATGAGTACAGACTCAGAGGCTGATAAGAATGTTGCTGGGTTTTGGTTCTTGAAATGATTACTGGATGAAGCATGGGAGAGTTCTTCACCTTATAACCAAAAGGGTGGAAGTTTGGAATTAGCTACCAGCAAGTGAAGACTACCTTTTTTTCAGTTACAGACATGTTACTCCTTCTACTCCAGCGTGGTGGTTTTCTTGTTTCTTTAGCACCTTTTTAGTGCAATTGTAAGATCCCTTGGAAAGCGTCCCACTTACACACCTTTTCCCTAGGATATGAGTCCCTGGGGAAGGCTTCCTGTAGACTGTTTGCTTAGACACCTGTGCACTGTAATGTATGTCTAGTTGAAATTGCATTAATGGTATGATTCCATTACAGGCAAGCAAGATGCTTGCTGCAAGAACACTCCCAGCGGGCCTTGAATCAGCTGCAATAGATAATTTATAAAGTGCTGTGGATCTGCTCAGATCTCCAGTGTTAAGTACAGGAGACACAGGGCTATTCATTATTAACATGACATTATGCTTTTTGCTCAGCAAAAAGTGTGGGTCTGGGATGAGCAAAGCTCTGTGAAAGGTGAGATTTGGGACTGTCAGTTTGACTGAGCTATTCCTCAGACACTGTTTCTTAGTCTGTGCCAGCTTTTGAAACCTCTTTGAAAGATAAAGTTCACATCTCTGTTTTGTCATAGTATTCCAATGGTTTGTCAGTTCTCTTTAGATCTTCTTGCTTTGTGTTATAACTTTTGTGAAAAGACTGGAGATGAAAAGAACTAACAGCTGCTTTGAGGTAGGCCTGTTGTAAAGCAGCAAATCAGGCTGCTCTAGGCCCAGTTTTCAGTTATTGCAAACCTGAGTTTCTCTCCTCACTTCCACATTTCTGCATGTATTTCCTAGTCTGCATCTTCAAGAAGCTTTTGCTGTCTCAAACATAGGCTACCACTGTTCTGACAGCAAGAAAAGAGGAAGGTATTTTTGGTATGATAGGAGGGTAGTGAAAGGGTGTTTTTCTTAGAACTGGCTATCCAGACTATAGTCCCACAGCATCAAAGGGCCCAGGTGAGAGGAAAGGGAGAAAGAAGAGTTGAAAGAAAGAGGGTCTCTTTCTGAATCTTCACCTCCTTTTTCCTCTTGCTGCCATTGTCTCTCGCCAGAGCCTACTGTCATACCTGCCTGGAAAACGCTGTTCTCTTTGGCAGCTCCCCTCTCTGAAGCAAAACCCCAGCGTCTGCCTTTGGGGGAAATTCAAAAACACAGACACAGGCAGCACTTACTAAAGGATCAAAGAGAATGAAAGGAAGAGATATACAAGGAAAAACTAGAGGTAATTTAGCCTTCCCTGAGTCTTGCATCCTCTCCCCAGAACTCTGCAAGTGTACCTGTTCCCCTGCATTTTCTGTTATTATTTGTGCTAGTGTCCTCTTCTCTTGCAAGAGAGCACTGGCAGGAGCTCCTGCTCTCAGCTCTTCCTCATGTGAGTGCATTTTGCTGAAGTGTATAAAGGTACATGAGCAACCAGAGATGCTTTAATTTGGAAATTAAAGCAAAAATCTGGGAAAGATGAGGACTTCCTAGAAAAGCTTTGCATGTCTTTGTGAAGATGTTCCGGGTTAGTTATCCTCTTCTTGATAGACTGTAGGAAACATTATTACATGTTTTAATCTTCTAAAGAGAGAGAACATTCTTTGCAAAATTCTCATCCTCTTGACCTCTTTGTAATTAGCTCTATTAGCAAATCATTATCAATTGTTATTACAACAAAATTTGAAGTCAGAGGTGAAGAATCAGTATGACCTTCTTAGTCTTCATTCATCTGCCTCCACTTCAGTACACATGTGTACTCAGAGCTACCACCAATGATTTCAGTAATATTTCAATTTTAACTGTGCATTTGTGAGGAGAGAAGAGGATGTTCTTTTGGCTCTGAATCTTCCAAGTCTACGCAGAGCTTTGGATCTCTTGGCAGGAAGACGTGCATTTTTAAGGGGTCACACATTGAAATTGTCAGTAGAAAATCTGCCCTCTAAAACAAGAAATTAAAAAAAATTTGGGGTTTTTTAAAATTTTTTTTCTTTATAAATAGAAAGAAAGTACAGGCTTCAGAGCTTGAGAACTGAGATCAGACACACACCAGGAAGCATGGCCTTTTCAGTTATTTATTGGGTTGCATTTCTCATTCGTAGTGCTTGATGGTTGATCTTTATGAACTCCTTCCTCTCCTCCCACTGTCTTTCTTCATCTGCCCTTTATACAGCTTGAATACTTGGGGGAACAGCTGGATTAACATCTCTAGAGACTCGCAGGGAGAAATGAACATGTGCATTTGATGGCTCCAGCAGCTGAATCTGATGCAAACTCCACTGAAAGTCATGGAAGGAAAGAAAGAATCAAAGTAGGTACATAGGAACTGCAGTTGAGCACAGCGCATACAAAGTCTATCAAGACATACAGCTGCACCTACAGAAACCTATCTGGTGGCCCCTGACTGCCTAGAGAGATCACTAGGGAATGTGGCTCTATTATATTGTCTGTCTAATGCTGTATGCTGCTCAGCTGGCCAGCTGTCTGCTTATAATTTTGGATTTTTTTTCTTTTAAGTAATTGGTGGCTTTTGACCTTCTGCTTTGGTTCTTCACATAATCTATCAACACCAGTGGACTGAGCAATGGAAAATCTCTAAGGAGATCAATGTGGCCCTCCCTTACCACCTGTCCTTGAGAAAAGTCCAGATGGGCTGCTATCAGCACAAACGTTCAGAGGCACTTTCTCTCCTCCTGCTGAATTGGTCTTGTTTCCTCTCTCTCCTTCAGGTGTGAACATGAACCAACAGTGAGGGAAACAAAGACAATAAGCTTGACTGTGGGTCTGCCTGCAACCCAGAACCCCACCCTGGGAAAAAGTCTAACAGCAAAACTCTCTTCAATGAGACCAAAAGTTGTAACTTTCAATGGTTCAATTTGAAAAATGTAATCTAAATGCCTTTCTTTGAGTTTTTTTATGAAGCAGGCTTGTCCCAGTGGCTCCAAGTTGCCGTCACTTTCCTTTCAGGCTTGCTGCCACACAGCTGGGATCCTAGCCGTCCTGCTTGCCCTGGCTTAAACAGGGCTTCTTGGCTTCCAGGCTTCCTGCCAGGAAAATCTGTAGTATCCCAGCTGGAGATAGGTTTGCCAGGCTCTCAATTCTACCCACGGATCAGGTACACAAGAGAACCTATGAGGAAATGGGCAGATTTCTGCCAGAAAATTCAATTAAGCAAGTACATTCCCATGAAATAGTTTGATTCTGTTAAACTGGCATTTTTCAAATGGAAAACTGTTCTATCCAAAAGCTTACATCCAGCTTTGCTCATTAGTGCATCCATCCATGAACAAAAGGTAGGTTGTGCTGGAGAGCAATAATTGAAATTCTTAAATCCCTTCCATCAAGAGCAGAACAGAGTAACACTTCAGTGTCTGATTCCATTTTACCACTTTAATTTTTTTCTGCAGATATTAAATCTTACAAGACCCTTATTAAATAGGAATTACTGTTCCCATTAACAGGTAGAGACAGGGCAGGGAATAACTTAGTGTTATACCAAGTCAGTAGAAACTCTTCAAAAGCATCCATTTCTGACTGAGCTTTCTGCATCAACTATGCCAGTTTATAGGCGCTCTTGCGAAAGCTAAAAGGATCAGTATTGTACAATGTTTGTGTTACAGGATACAGATCAGGTTCAATTACAACACTTTTAGAACAAAGTTGTGCCCTAATTTTAAGCTCAAAATAGCAGCATAAAAAGACCACAAGGTAGCAGACAGCCCTACAAAACCATATTTACACCAACAATTTGAGCTGCGTGCCAATCATTCTGCAGACCAGCTACAAAAACTACTAGGATGTAGCTTGTGAGATTCTCAGCACCATACATATTGGGCAGAAGTACCTGTAGGTCTGTGCTGCACAGACAGTGATGAACACTCACAATTTAACTATTGCTTTCCACTTGCAGCCTGCTTTTCTATGGCAAAAAAAGAAAAAAAAAGTATATATAATTTGTTCTGATACCATTTGAATCAATTTCAGTGAAACTTCTCAGAAGCACCAGTATCAGAAATTGTTAAGCAACTATGGATTTTTTTTTTTTTTAAGTGGAACAGTTAGGAAGAGGTAAGTGTCCTTTCAAGGAGAATGGCAGTATTAATTCACCTGCTATTAAACATCAGAGAATCCATATGAAGTGAGAGAGGCAAAGAAATAAAAAGCCTTAATTAAAACTCTAACTGTGGGACAAGCTTCAACTGTATTTTGAACCTTAGACATCGAAGCAAATCAACTCCAAGTCACCACAGCTAGCCAAGCTTCTTCATTTCTAGTGCCTGTGAGGAAGCCTTCAGCAAGCTGAAAGTGCTGGCATGAAATAGTGGATATGAATATTCTGAAAATCACAGGAGCTTTTATTAATAACAAGTATCTCTAGAACAAGAGTCCTTTTCCTTTAAAGGTCCTTCAGGAAGATGTGTCATGGCAGTAGGATGTTTGGAGTTTTTTGACAGTGGTATTCAGAAGCAGTCTTGCCTCATCCCCTTTACTGAGGGCTGAAATTGTTTGTCACACACTTTCCATGTGAATCACATTTCCGCACTGACTCTCCTGCCTGGTTTTCTCAATTGCCTCTGTCATTGTTTTCTGCCTTTACACCCTCCAGTGGAACTGGATTACATAATCTCTTGTGATGGGTACAGGGCAAGAATTTGAATAGGAAACAGGAAAGACTGTACGTGTAGCTCCAGCTGACACCCACTCAGCACTTCTTCTATCACTGGCTGTTTTAAGTGTTTCTCGTTGGTAAACCACTGCTTTACAGACTACAGCTTTGAGAGATTTCTTAACCCATTCTCCCATTTCATCCTGATTCGTGGAAACTTGCACCTAAAGTGGATGCAAGACATGGGAGGAAGGGTTTATGAAAAGGCCCTCAAAGTAAATTGCATGTGTGTAATGAAACTGGTTTTATTCTTCTACGCAGATTTTGTGCTGCACCAGTTAACAGTGACATATTGATTCCTCACTGGTGCAGAGAACCGAGAGACTTTGGTGTTAAAACCATCAAGATCCAACCATGTCAAAGATATAATTTAACAGGCACGAAGGTAAAGGCAAATTCTTAGCTGGAATTGCAAGCAGAGATGAAGAGTGGGACAACTTCATTATTTAACACTTGTGATTTTTATATTGATGAAAGCTGCCTCCATTCTTACTTAGTATCATTTTACAGTCACTTTGCAACTGATGTAAATGACTGCTGACAACTGATAGTTACACCAGCCATCCAAGTATGCAGCTAGTGTGCAGACAAGTAACAAAGGATTCCCTTCATTTTCTCATATCTGGAGGAAAGTAGAAAAAGGACAGAGACAGTTGAGCTGCAAAAAATCAGCCCACTGTACATTCAGTATTGTTCTTTGAGGATAAAAATGAAAATGGGTTTTGGTTAGCATGACGTTGATTATTTATAATTGAGATGTATTGTCTGGTTACAAACACACTGCTAGAAATCAAGACTTCTACAGAGAACGATAACCTTCCTTCCCAGTTGTCATGCTGAAAGCTGGACAGAAATGTTTTGCCGCTTTTTTTTGCTTTTTCCTTTTCCTGCTTACCTTCTAGGGGACTTGCTTTATAAACAATAATAATATAATAGGGCTGTGAGGCCTTCTACACACAGAGATTGGTCCCAGTGAAGACTACCTCTTCCATATGGCAGCATATGTTTCTGTGCATTTCCTGATAGAGCAGCCATCTCCCTGTGGCATTTAAGCACGGTATAATTAGCTGTGTACAGAAGTAGAGTGTTGATAACGTTTTGCTGGAAGAGTGCCATCAGCATGACTGTTCTTGGTATTGGTTGCCGTAAGTAACACTGTCTTTAGAGAACAGTAATTGGAAATCTGTGGGTTGCTCTTGCACACCCTGAGCTCTTTCATGATTTTATCAGATTTTATCATTAGTGATGCCTAGGAAGCAGTCCTTTGAGTTTTGAATGTTTAACAGGAGAGAGGTTCTGGCCTGTTTGTTTAGCTATGTATCTTCTTGATTGCAGTTTCACAGGATTAAGACCAACTGCAGATTGGCATCACAACTGGGCTACTCCCTGTTCTGACATACTTGCTCCCTGTTTTCTCCCAGCTTCTGTTGTCAGTACAAAAGATGAAAAAAAAAAAAAGGTGAAAAAACATCCAGGAATATTTCTCTCTAAAAATCTCAGTTCCTTTCAGGGTCTTCTCCCTGCTTTCCCTGTGATCAAATCTTCCTGTCTTTTTGCCATTCCATGCAGACAGAATCCAGAGATTACAGAATCCAGAGGACCATGTAAGAACTACCCAAGTGATATATGAAAGTAAGATATACATATGTGAAAATAAGTTTGTCTCAGAGAGTACCCAATAGCAGAGATTCAGAGAAGAATGCAGAAAATGTAGGGTCATCACTGATGAGTAGGGCAGGGCAAGTTCCATCTTCCTGTAGGCAATTAAAGACTGGTTTATAGAATTATAACTTCTTTATCCATTTTACACTGTTTACAGTAACCTTGCATGTCCCATTATCCCTGCAAGCATCCCGTAATCTTCTGAGTACTTTTAATGCATTGACTTCTGTGATAATTGTAGAAGTGAATCCCTATAGTTAATAATATGATGGTAAAAAATATTTTCTATCATAAATGTACTGCTTTTGGCTTCCTCTTCTCCATTTGTAAAATTTCCTTCTGTGCTTACACATTGCTCAGTTTTCAGCAAAGCTGCTGAAGCATGTCTATAACATCTGTGGGGAAAGAGGCGAAGAGTCAGTCCTGAGTTCTGAAGCCATAGTTCTATGCAACACAGAACACTCTCTGAAGGCTTCCCTGTTTATTGCTCACTAATAACATGGAGTGATGTGGCTATGTTCCTCCTGAACCCAAGCTAATTCACAGCTTTCATGCCTCGGCATGATGCACTCTAGCTCTTTCAGCTCCAAGAACATCATGCAAGGTGTGGGCTTGGCATTACAATCTCCACAATAAATTTATATCCTGCTGGTGGCTGCTCTGTGGCTGTGACAGATGGCCAAACACAGCACCAGTTCCTCTAGCTGAATATTCTTTAGCAACAGAAGTAATATCAGTGTTTCTATTCTGCAGACGGTAGGGCCATATGATCTTACACAGTGCCATAGCAGCACCCTGGACATTCTTGTGTACTGCACTGTCATTGAATAATGCAAATGGATTTTCAGAAGTAACAAAAGGACCCAAAACTTTAGACTGGGAAAGGAGTTCTCTATATTTCCCTGCCCTCTCTGAAAATATGTCAGGGTCTCCAGAGGAAAGTTGAAGTCTCAAACTGACTCAGCTCAGAAGGACTGATGAGGTTCGAGAAAGGAAGGTTGAGTCCTTGAGAACTATGTAAAATTTATGCAAAATCTGCATCACTGTGCTGATTAATACAGATTTTAGAGCAGAGTCCTCAAATGTGTTTTGGTGAGGTACTAGTGGCAAATACAAAAGCAGTTCTTACTTCTGCACTTGTATTGGAAGGGGGTTTTTTTGTGTTTAATAGGTGTTTTTCTGCCAGTTTAAAAGAACCTGTGTATAACACCAGAGCTTGAGACCCCAGATAGTCTAGACTATGTATGGAAAAAAGGAGTGGCAGGAAGCATATGCCTACTTCTGTGTATTTATATGGAGTCTAATCCTTTGGGCAGCATTTATTTTGCCACTTTGTTAGTTTTGAATTTGGAGAAGACAGCAGGTCAAATGAACACAGTATTTCAATTTGTTCTCTGTTTCTTAACACCTTTTGACTGGATCAGCACCCAGGAAAAGCAATCCTTATCAAATATTTTGTCCACAGATGCAGAGAAATTTGACCTGACCTTTTGTGATTTTGCAGTATTAATAATGGTTTATTCTTTGCTGTGTGTGCAAATCTGAGTTTGGCTGCCTTTATGTTCTA